GCCATTGACAAGGTCATCAACTTGGTCTCCGATGTTGAACAAGAAAGATGTCGAGGCAGATTAGAGGCTGCTGTTTTTCTTGATATTAAGGGCGCATACGACAATGTCTTACATTATGCCATCCTTGATGCGCTTAAGGATCTAGAAATTGGTGGACGACTATATGCGTGGATCGTGAGCTACCTTAGCGACCGTACCGTGTGTATGTCAACAAGCGATGCAGATACAGATCATTATAACATTCACCATGTTGTTCCTCAAGGGAGTGTTCTCAGTCCGACACTTTTTAACATCACCTTGATTGAACTTGCTACTGAACTTCCTGACACGGTGAAGGTGAACACATATGCGGACGACTCCTACATCTGGGCTTCAGGAGCTACGCGCCCCCAACTGCATGCTCGACTACAACGTGCAGTGACCATCACAGCAAGGTACCTACGTCGCCAGGGTCTCACACTGTCAACTGAAAAATGCGCAGTGCTTGCATTTACACGAAAACAAATGACAAGGTACCCACTAACTGTGAATGGAACAGAAATTCGTGCCGTTGTGCAACACAAATTCCTGGGTGTTATCTTCGACCGGAATCTATCGTGGTCAAAACACGTCACAGCTTTGAAGTCAAAGCTCAAGAGTTTTGTCCACGTTCTTCCGGTCATGGCCGGAGCAAGATGGGGCCCTTCGGAGGCAGCTCTCCTGCAACTGTACCAATCTTTATTCGTAGGGTACTTACGATACAGCATGCCCGTGCTTTCAAGCATGAAACCCAGTTGTGCGAGCACGCAAGAAAGCATCCAAGCTCAAGGGTTGCGCACATGTTTGGGCTTACCTCAATGCACATTAACCAAGGGAACTCTTGCCGAAGCTCGGGCTTGTCCAATCAAAGTATATGTGCTCTGCGAGCCTGTTCGAGTCCACCTTCGCCTGTTGACCCGACACAGGCAACACCCCCTACCAGCGCTCCCTGCCAGCCACCGAGACTGCAGTTATTCAAGAGCTATATCGTGCCTCGAGAACATCATTCCCCCAAGATTCTCTCCCCCACGTGTTCTTGGGACACCTCCGTGGCTCCTGCCTAGACCACTTGTCATACTTCAGATTCCTGGGATTATGAGGAAGTCCCTTGTTTTATCGGTCGGCCTAAAGCAACTTACACTGCAGCACATTTATACTATACGACGGTGTGGCACACGTATATACTGATGAATCTACCACGTCGCGTACCTCCGCCGCAGTCTTTGTCATCCCGGAGATGAAGATAGCTCGACGTTTCAAGATAGATCACAAGACCACATCAACAGCCGCGGAACTTGTTGCTGTTCGGGAGGCAATGCGTTTCATGTCGACAGAACCCGCTCGTAAATTGACGATACTGTGTGATGCCAAAGCTGCTCTTCAAACCATCGATGGCTTCATGAGACAAGGTCCATATCATACTTTATCGATTGAAATAGCAGAGCTTCTTAGCATTGCTACAAAAAAATGGACATGTGTAACATTTCAATGGATACCTGCTCATTGTAGCATAATGGGCAATGAAGCGGCGGACGCTGAAGCTAAGAGAGCTTTGAATAGTGCCCCGGAAGTGTGCATCACATTTTCTCGACAAGACACTAACATCCTACTTCGACGGGTAATGCGCAACTCCATCTTAGAGCACTGCCAGAAACCAGAACACCAGCACAAGCGGCTGCACAAATAGGATCCGGAAATGAAGTTCCGTATGCCTAACAAGTTAAAGCGAAGCATCTCACGCGTTATCCACCGCATTTGCCTCGGTGTGGCTTGCACGAGACGTTAAACCCACTTGATTGGCTGTAATGACACAGGTCCCAATTGTGGTCACTGTCGGTTGCCAGAAACGCTCGAACATATATTTTTGCGACTATCCAGCTTATGCAGGTGAACGTCAGCAACTGATATCTTCGATTGGCCGATATATTAGTCGACCATTAACCGATGAGGTTGTGTTAGGTCCTTGGCCTGACGCCAGCAGCACACATGTGGTTATACGAGCCGTCATCGCTTTCTTAGAAGCCACTGGACTGGATGCACGTCTGTAGAGTTACCCAGCCTAATAAGAAGATATCATCTCTCTACATTACCATCGTCATTCGTCACTCTTTTTACTCCCCAGTCACCCTTCCCCAGTGTAGAGTAGCAGGCCAGAGCAAACTATAACTCAGACCGACCTCTCTACCTTTCTGTAAATAAATTCTCTCTCTCTCTCTCTCTTATTTCTACTATTCATTTATTTCAAAATACCCCTAAGGGCCCTAGACGAGGGTATTACATAGGGGGACACTTAATGACAAAATTGAGCAATAACGGAGTGAAAGTAATGGAAAAAAAGTTAAATCCTGACAATTGGCTGGTGTACATTCGGCAAGAATACAACAATAACAAAAACAACGTAAAAGAAATAAGTGCAAACTACAACTTAGTTGAAATGAGGAACTGAAGTGACTAGACATAAGTTGTAAAAAAAAACTAGAAGTGCAAGCATAGAAGGCTATGTTGGGCAATGCAAGAACGCACACCAAGATAGTTTGCTTCTTCAAGAATAACGCAGCACGCGTTCAGGGTGTAGTGTATCTGGTATGAAACACTGGGCGTTCCATAGCAGTGATAATTTCCACTTTTTCTTTCTTCAGTAGTCTACGTTGGCAAATACTTAGTTTTAGAAAGACGCTGTTCTGCCACATGTGCGACCTTTCGATTTGGATGCAGTCGAGAGTACAGTAAATGAGCACGACACTGATATTCCCATAGTGCTACCAAAACAAAACGAAAATACGGATGACCGAAAAAGGAGGCGATGGAAATTTAGGCACCTTCTCTGTGAAAGGCGTAGGAAGTATGTAGGTTCGCTGATCGAAGCATTTCCGAAATTGTGGCTAAATTACTTATCACCTTATCTCAGTTATAGGAGAAGAGCATTCATTTATTTAGAGCCAAACCGTGCTTCGGTTGACCTACCTCATAAATATCCGTACGCATTACAATACTAAAACTGATGCGTCATAATAGGGGGACAACATAATTTATTGACGATAATCAGCTTAGTTTTCACCCTATACGTCCCCTAGAAAAGACAAATGGTAGTATACCTTCCTATATCTCAAATATAGATATTAAGCACCGAGATAAAATGGACTTTTATGAAACAGAATAGTACTGCGACAAACGAATTCATAGCACCTTGGAATGAGATATATAAGAAAAGTTCGTCAGTTGCCTAGCTTTTATTTGCAAATTGGACCAAAATAAATGGTGTAACAGAAAAAAAAGGTACTTCTCTTCAGTGCAGCTAGGAGATTCCGGCGGTGATTTTTGCTCGTATGAGGAAAGGAAAAAAAATTCACACGCACTCTGAAATTCCGTGCGCTCTGCTTTATGCCTCCGTCTGCTCCGCCGTCGGAATCCACGTCCACTTGCGGTAGCCGGGCTCTGAGAAGCGCGGCGATTGGGATGGTCGGTGACAAACAGGCGGCGCGCTTGCCATCTCGGAGGCAATGGTCTGGCATACAAGAAAAAAGCGAGTTTCGCTGCCAGAAGAAGCAGTGAATACGATAGCAATAAATTGAAATGTTATGTGAAAGAAGACTAATAGTAAAGTTTTTTCATTCGATCAAGCAGTATTCTACCAATCCCGTGCGTTTACTTCACTCGTGTAGATCGTGCAACACTTTGCAGCATGGTGAGAAAACGCTACCTCAAAAAAAAAAAAATCCAAGTATTACGGCGCAGCACGCAGTCTTGAATCTAAAATTGATTCTAAATACCAGCTAGAAGCTCCTCATTTTTCGTGCCCGCCGTGGTACTGTAGCAATTACGCTGCTAGGCTTCTTATCGGAAGGTAGCAGGTTCGATCGTTGCCGCGGCATTCGCATTTTCATAGAGGCAGAATGGTAGAGGGCTGTTTTTTGTGCCATGTCAGTGAACGTTAAAAAACCTCAGACTGTGGAGCCGTCTCTCATAATCATATTATGGTTTCAGGTGGGCAAATATCTTTAATTGTTAGCGTTTAGCGTCTCAAAACCACTATATGGTTATCAAAGGCGCCGTAGTGGAGAGCTGCGGAGATTTCGACAAACTGGGGTTTTTTTGACGTGCATCTAAATCTAAGCGCGCGGGCCTTCGGCATTGGCGCCTCCATAGAAAGTGCGGCCGCCACGGCCGATATTCGATCCCGCTAGATGCGAGACCACCGTGCTTGGCAGGCTTTTGAAACGTCAAATCCTTGATATCTTTATTAGGTTCCCTATTATCCCCACAAGTGACGTACTCTACCACAATCACTAAGCCATAGGCCCAAGTCCAAAGCCATTGGCTAATTGCAGCATCGTGACCTTCGTAACTCTTGTGACCAGCACGAGATTCCCCCACATGCTCCCTGATGCACTCGCAATGACAGTGAAAGTAAGCTGTGCATTTTAATCACAACAGTCTACAGTAAACGTATAGTGCCTGGAATATATTCTAGGCACTATAGTAAACGTAATGTTGCTGGATATTCATGCACGGCGGGCTCATGAGAGGCAGTTGTTTCACGTGCGACGGGTCGGTTACACGAACATCGAAAAAGAAGCTCGCGTTGCAATGCGCTTTACCGAACAGTATTGCCATGTTCTGGCTATTGTGAATTAATCTGATTTGTTGTAAAGCGTTAATGCCACCCAGGTGAGGCAATGCCACCACCAGCCAGGAAAAAATATATCACTGCTTTGGGGCAGGATGATCAAAGAAAATTGCTGGATTTAATTTATGCCTTGAAAGTGAGGCCAAAGGTGCGCCATCCCACTTGTGTTGAAATAAAACAACAAAGTATGACGTACCGAAACTAGCACTGAGCCTACCCTCTTAATGTGGGTTATAATTTTTCGTGGTTAGGAGAAATGACCCACAAGTATTTTTGCAATCACATCTTATCGCAAGCGAATGCTTTTTTTTAAGAGAGGCCTTTCGGTACCTTTTTGTTTGGACACTGCAACCAGACAAACAACCCTCTTCCGGCCAATACGGACACTACATATTGGTCGAAAACACAGGAGGCTGCTTCATTGTTCAACGGATAATTGATGGTAAGTGCTTCTCTTTTTTGGCTAATAACGCCACGTGGGTTTCCGATTGTGCAACAGACACTCAATTCGGGGATATTGTGAAATACACACTCTTATCATGAGTAGTGAACAACTCTTCGTTTCTGTCTGCAGTGATAATTTATCTTGCTTGAGTCATAGTGACGAGTTAAGTTTAGGCACCGCCGAACAGAAAAGCCATGCGAGCACTTCGAAACACTCGCGCGCTTTTTGTTACTCCTGCCTCGGCGTAGGTTGGTGCGCTCAGTCATGAGTCGAACCTCTTACTTCCGTATTCAGAAACACTCCTCTAACTCGAATTCCGCCCTTCACTTGACTGAGTGGAGCACTGCGCCGCTGCTCGACTGAAATTGACACTGCGGTTCTCAAGAATCGCTGCAGAATATTGCCGATATGCAATGACTTGGTCTGCCAAGAGACGGCGCTCCTATCGACTTTTGCAAGTCATGGTGAAACATTGAGTGAAGGAACGTTCTAGAATACGGTGGTTAGACTAACATTTCACTCGGGGATCAGTGGGATTCATTTAGAGTGTGACTGAGGCCTGCTGACAAAAAATTTCTTGCCCATGAGTCCGATAGACTTCGCTGGACAGACATTTTGCTTACCCTGAGTCGGGATTCAGTGCGCCTGATAATTTGTTTGGTGCGCATTAGTGTGAGCAAGTCTACCTGAGGAGACGTGTGGTGTGGATCTGCCAAAGTGAGTCCGGTTTATGAACATTGTCGTCCGCCTGTGTCCGAGCTACTCTGGTAGAGAAAATTTTTTTATGACAACTATAGTACAAGCGAATCCACTTGAAAAGAGTTTCGATGTGTCTGAGTCACAGAGTGCACACTTGAGAAGATTATTGCTTAGCCTGAGTCCGAGTAAGTCCAATGCAAGAGCAAATACGGTGAAGAAGTCAGAATCATCTCTCTTTATTTTTCTGACCCTATGGTGCAAATAAATCATGCTAGCTAGCTAGTTCACAACGACTTCGCATTGCCAGTTGCTCTATATTAAGCTAGTTTTAATGTTTGGCCTGGCGAAATAAACTACAGCCACTTACATGTAAAGTGCACATATTTTACAAAAAAACAGTTATACCCGGTCATCGAACTCTTGCAGAACTTGCCTTGTTCGCCCTTACTGAAATTCATCAGGTTTTTTTTTTTGAACCTCGCCTTTTGGGGTTTATTGTTAATCACAAAATATCGGAGGTATCTCGCTCACATTGACAAAAAGTTCAACCTCTGCATCTAATACGTAGGAAGATTCATTTAAAACCCTGTGATGTCAGCGTATCAAACATCCTAGTGAGCACAGAATAAATACAAATGGGAGAAACTGCTATCATATATGATTCATGGTTCGACATGCCTAATATTGCACACCAGGAGGTATATGCACAGAAACGCTAAATATATAGCTGATCTGATTCTGATTGGCTGGATTCATAAGCGTATACAATATACGCCACTAAATGAAGCTGGCTTTATGCTGGCGCGCTGACGGAATTTTTGAACTCAAATAAACCCACACGTAAACGCTGCAAAAGCATGAACACTTCCGCTTTCTATTGTGTATGCATTAAAAACTGACTTGAACAACCAACCACAAAGAAATAGTTTCTTGCAGAAGATACACCGATGCAACTCACCCTGTGGTGCTGTTATTGCGAAAATATTACACTATCTCCCGCCAAAGAAAACCATGTGTGAATGTGAAGCAGCGGGCGCTAACGTTTACACAGGTGGCGGCGTTGACACTGGTGTTCATCGCGGAGTTGAGCAGGACAGAAACCTGGTGAGGCGCAAAACAACCACTGATGAACCGAAGTTTCCTATACTGGAACATGCCAATCGCTGCTAATGGGCAATGAAAGACAGAAGGCTCCGACTGGACACAGAGAGCCACAGTCCGCTCTTAGTTAACACGCACGATGCGAGTTTCCATTGTTCAACATTCAACAGCGCACAGCAGAAATCGCCCACCGGCTACCACACCACAACACACACACACAACACACACACAACACACACACACACACACCAACACACACACACACCACACACACACACACACGCACACACGCACACACACACACACACACACCACACACACACACACACACACACAACACACACACACCACCACACACACACACACAACACACACACACACAACACACACACACACACACACACACACACCACACACACACACACATATATATATATATATATATAGGCAGGCATGGTGGTTGAGTGGCCGTAGCGTTGCATATAGTCTAGTAGATCCTCCGTGAGCGGTCACAACGTGGTTTATTTCGACGTTTCGGCCTAGAGTCTGGCCTTCATCAGGAATAAAGATACAGTTTGTCGGTGCTCAGCTTTATACAATCTCAAATCAGAGGGCAAAGAAAGAGGGAAAAAAGGAAAGAAAAAAGAAAAGGAAAGAAAAAAAAGGAAAAAAGAGCAAAATAATATACGGTGGACGCCCCTCGGGTGCCCCCCTTCCTTTTTTCCCTCCACTTCCCCCTCATCTCTCTCCCCCATCTCCCCTTCACCTTTCTGACGTCAGCGGTCTGTGTATGTTTCCGTTCACTAGCGCATTCCTCCCGATCAGACGGCCCCTCCTGGCACTGGCGGTTCGGTGTGGTCCCGTAAACGATTCGGGGTCCCGTAAACAATTCGTCGTAGAAGGACGGGGGCCGCGTATTGTGGCAGAGGCTGGTCAGCGGGCATTTTAGGAAGTTCTAAGCCTTTAACTACTCCGCGCCCTGTCAACATTTCGTCGTAAAAATAGGGGCTTTCGCATTGCACGCGCTTGCACAGCCTACCGCAATACGGGGCACCCCTATTTTTACGACGAAATGTTGACAGGGCGCGGAGTAGTTAAAAACGAGGTCTGTATTAACAGAACAAAAGAGCAGTCACTTCGACTTCTTCTTTTTTCAGAGGAATCGTGGGTGCTGTCCACGCTCATCACTTCGTCGTCCTTTGTTTTCTTGCCCGGCCTTTAGCCGTGACATTAGCCTCCCATTCAAAAAAGCATCGTCCCGATGCTTTATAATCAAAGCGGTTTGTACTCGTTGGAAACGCATGAGTTCATTCGGCGAAATAAGGCTTCATGCGTACCACGTGCACAACTTCTGGAGCATACCTTCGACGCCTTGAAGAGTGCGCAGTATCAGGAACAACCTCATAATTAATGTCACTGAGACGTCGCAGAACTTTATAGGGACCGAAGTACCGTCTTAACAGTTTTTCTGAGAGGCCACGGCACCGAATAGGTGTCCACATCCAAACTTTCTCTCCTGGCTCGTAGGAGACTGGTCGGTGACGAAGGTTGTACGGTCTTGAATCGTAGTCCTGCTGGCGACTAATACGTAGGCGTGCAAGTTGTCGGGCTTCTTCGGCCAGCTGAGTGATATAATCACCATCCGTTTCAGCATCTTCGCACTCGTGCGGCAGCATAGCATCCAGCATAGTGGTGACTTCACGACCATGAAGAAGGCGGATTGGCGTTGTTCTTGTTGTTTCTTAATAAGCCGTGTTATAGGCGAACGTGACATACGGCAAGATCTCATCCCAGTTTTTATGCTCCACATCGACGTACATGCAGAGCATATCCGCTAGTGTCTTGTTGAGACGTTCCGTAAGACCATTCGCTTGCGGATGATACGCCGTTGTTCGCCGGTGGGATGTGCCACTAAGTCTTAAAACTGTCTGTAATAGTTCAGCTGCGAATGCAGTTCCCCTGGCAGTTATTACCACTGATGGAGCACCATGCCTCAGCACCACATTCTCTACGAAAAATCGGGCTGCTTCACTTGCCGTGCCCCTCTCCAAAGCCTTGGTTTCAGCGTAACGAGTGAGGTAGTCGGTGGCTACTATAATCCATCTGCGACCTGCTGATGAGGTTGGAAATGGGCCCAAAAGATCCATTCCGACTTGAGCGAATGGAGTAACAGGCACGTCAATAGGATGGAGGAGGCCTGCTGGTTTGACGGGTGGAACTTTTCTGCGCTGGCAATCAAGGCACGTCCGAACATAGTGTTGAACGGTTGCCGTCAGTCGTGGCCAGTAGTATTTCTGCCTCACTCTGCACAACGTACGCGTATAACCCAGGTGGCCGGATGTTGGTTCATCGTGGCATGCCTGTAATACTTCGCTCCTTAGAGATGTTGGGACGACGAGTAAGTAGTCGTTTCCGTGTGGCGTGAAGTTCATCTTATACAGGACGTCGTTGCGCAAGCAAAATGACGAAAGCCCTCTCGCAAACAGTCTAGGTACAGCTGAAGTGCGACCCTCTAAAACACGTATTATGGGTTCTAGTTCGGGGTCGTCTCGTTGCAGCTGTGCGACAGTTGCCGTGTTTACAACTCCGACAAAGGCTGTATCGTCATCTTCTGCCGTCGCAGGTTCGTATGGCGCACGAGAAAGGCAATCAGCGTCTGAATGTCGCTTCCCCGATCTGTAGACCACCGTCATGTCAAATTCTTGAAGCTTCAGGCTCCAGCGCGCCAACCGTCCTAAAGGGTCTCTTAAATTCGTCAGCCAGCAGAGGGAGTGAGGGTCGCTGACAACATTAAAAGGACGACCATACAGGTATGGGCGGAATTTTATAACCGCCCACACCACCGCAAGGCACTCTTTTTCCGTAGTGGAATAATTTTCTTCCGCACGTGAAAGAGTTCTGCTCGCGTAAGCAATTACTCGTTCGGCGCCATCCTGCCACTGCACGAGTACAGCTCCTAAGCCGACATTGCTAGCGCCGGTGTGCTCTGTTGTCGGTGCGTCATCATCAAAGTGTGCGAGGACTGGTGGCTTCTGAAGGCGTTGCCGCAGCTCGTCGAATGATTTTTGCTGCTCTTCATTCCATACGAATGCGACGTCTTCTCTGGTAAGGCAAGTCAACGGCGAGGCAATGCGCGAGAAGTTCTCAATGAAACGTCGGTAGTAAGCACACAGTCCTAAAAACCGTCTGACGGCCTT